TTCTAGGTACTCATAAGAAATCGAACCTCTGAGCCTCAGATTCCGAGCTCAGATACTATACTACTTGAATCACGGCGACTCTACAGTGAGCCAGGCCTCTACTAAGTCCATTTTTGACACACGTCCTGCATTCTGCTATGATCAGCAATGTCGAAAGGATTATGTGTCTAGAAATATTAGCAAGATGTCGTAAAAGAATAAGGAAGATGGTAAATTTTGAGCTCAGTTTAGAAAGAGAGAATGATGTTTTCCGTCTTATCATGAGCGTAGGAAAATTTCTGAGTCCCCATGAGGAATAGAACCTCAGACCAGACCTTCTTCAGGCTAGTTCGACCAGACCAGACCTTCTCCAGGCGAGTTCGACCATTTGTGACAATCGTTGAGAGATTCTCACTATAAATCCCTGTTTCGCTTGCAGGTAAATACCGTGACATGATCGTAACCTTCACATTCAGTCGTCGGATCGGTTACTACCTCATTAACTTCTACGTTCCTTGCATCATCATGGTTATTATGAGCTGGATTGTGTTTTGGATTGATCGAGACAACATTGGCGACCGAATAGCTCTCGGGATCACGACCGTCCTCACAATCGTATTTTTACTGGGTTCCAGTAACAGCACTATGCCCCGGGTCAGTTACCCGAAGGCTATCGACTGGTACATGATGACTTCGTTCATCTTCGTGTTTATGTCGCTAATCATGTGTCTGTTGATCTTCCGGTTTGATCGAAAGAAGAACAAAGAGCAGCGCCCGCCGAGGTCGGTCAGCGGTGAACCTCCAGCTGAGGCAATTTCGATGCAGGTAAATTTGTAACAATTCGATAAAAGCTACCAAGACACTTTCAGAATGAAGTGTCTTGCACAACAACAAAATTAACATCCCCGCCAGTTCCCTCCACATAAAATACTAACTTTGAATCATTCTAATAACTCTAGATATCAGAAGAGCCAGACATTCGGAGCCGTGTTTCATACTACGTGGCAGACTCTCAAGGAGCTGTGTATCCCATCGTTCGCAGCGTGTCTGGTCTAAAAAAGAAAACCCTCTTAACGCCACGCTTTCCCAAGAGGCTTTGCGGACTGCCGGTGAAAGTCACCCGAGATAACCTTGGAGTGGCGCTAAACAATCTCTGTAGATTTCTCTTTCCATCCTCGTTTCTCTTGTTCAATCTTGTGTATTGGGTTGGCATAGCCTAAGTTTGCTGGGAACCAAGAAAGGGAAAAAGCTTTTGAATGTATATCTTTGTCACGCACCCTGGTGATGGGCTTGAAAAGTCGGCTATGGTTTGGTTAACGAGTTGAGTTTTTTATTTCTCGTATCGGTAAAATTCCTCGTTTTCATATGAAAAAGTTCGGTTCTGTTTACTGAATGAGAAAGCCCAGCTATTAAAAGTTAAAACATGTTACGTCGGTTATATTCTTCTTCGATAAGTTCAACATCTGGGTATTCATTCTAAACGAACTTTTTACATTGAGGATTAAAAAAAAAAAGAAAAAAATCGAACTTTCCGTACATAACTCACAAGATCTGATCGTCAATTTTCCCCTCTGGCCGTTATACATTTCCTTGTAAATTAGCTACGAAAATTTGGTGTCAGATCAAGATAACAACTTCTACCTGATAAGTTTGAGTATTCTCAATTCCGGTTTGTAAGATAAACTATGGGTAATTTAGGGAGAAGCTGTGTGTTAACCACTTCTAGAAGTTAAAGTGTTAAGTTCTAAGGGTAGATAGATCAAAACACACTCAAGCTATCCTAAGAAACGCCTCTATATGAGATAACATAAAAGTAAGTTTGACTTTTGATCGTGGATAAGTGCAAAACACCTTTCGAGAAACTAACCCCATAAAATGGACTGAAGAACAGCTCTACTGAGTCTTATAGAGTTCAATATGAGGGGATGATTTTACAGTCGACTATCGATCCAGACAATCCAGATCAACACTCTTTGCTTAACAAGATACGTCTCTGAATCTGAACTTCTAGGGCCTACAAAATGAAAATTTTAAACTAATAACTAATAATAAAAAAAAAATTAAGAAAACTGTCAAAACCGCACTCTACAAAAAAATCGTTTCAAAGCATTCTTTACTGATGATATTTACGAGAAGGGTACTAAAGGTTAAATTTACATGGGTCGTTTTGTCCTGTTAACTGGCTTTTTAAGGAATAAGCCGTTCATGGCGGCATTGAATAGAAGCAATAATTTTTTTTTAAAGAGCATTTTCAATTGAGTGTTGAAATTAGGGCTGCATTTTGATTGCTTCATTTCGCTGTGACAAGTCTAGAAAATTCGCGCCATCCTCGCAACCAATCAGATGCGAACTGACCAATCGCCATTTCTTCTTTCATACTTTCCCGCGCTTCACAGAGGTTGCTTGGTTTTTAACGTTGAGTTCTACCAGGCTCCTTTTGGTATTTTCCTTCGTTCTTACGGGCTCTTGTGATTACTTTGGTTTTGATTTAGCGACACTCAATCGAAGAGCACTCTACATATAAGCTTA